ATTTGTCACTCACTTTATTAATGCTCTGGCAGAACTTCATAGTCATCAGCTAGCTTTCTCTTTGTAAATCAGCGTTTTCAAGATGTAGAGACGGTCTAGTGCACAGAGCACTGAGCACTGACGAAGAATCGCTCGCTCTTGATGCATCCTGTCGTACTGTTGTTGCTTTATTTCCCTGTATTTCTAATTATCCATAAGAACGTGCATAACACAGAGTGGGCGGATTATCTATATTTACAACACACATAGTGACATTACACAGTGTGATCTGCTTGACTTAATCATACAAAGCACGAGGATCACTTGTTTCAAATGAGAAAAGCCTACTCTTTAATCAGTAGCAAAGGACACCTTGTTAACTCGTGTGCAAGAACATGAATGTTCCCTGATAATGCACTGTAACACAGCCACCTCTAATATCAGTGAGATGGCCTTTGGTGTAAAACACTAGCATGTTTTAATCACACCTGCTGATGTTATATTGTCTCCTTTAGTAAGGTTTACAGATTACTGTATGCATATATTTTATTCTATAAATCTATATTCAATAATCCATCAGGCAAGATGTTTTTAAGAATTTTTTGCAAATGTATTAAACATGTAAGAGATTAAATCTAAAAAAGATTGAAATTTCCAGATGTGTTCAGACCCTTGCTGTGACACTCCAAAATGCAATCAGGTGCATCTTGTTTGCTTTAATCTTAACTGAGGTGTTTCTAGTGCTTGACTGAAACCCACCTGTGGCAAACTGAATGGACTGGACTTATTTTAGAAAGGCACACACCTGTCCCACATTTCACACTGCCTGACCGGACAAAAGCCAAGCTATTAAGTGCAAGGACTCTCATGTGTGAGCTCTGCAATAACATTGTGGCGAGGCACAGATCAGGGCAAGAGTATAAAACTATTTCTAAAGCTTTGACTGTTCCCAGGAGCGCAGTGGCCTCAGTAAGTGTGAAATGGAAGAACAACCAGGACTCTTCTCAGAGTCGGCTGTCAGGCCAGTCTGAGAGCAAGAGGGGCCTTAGTCAGGGAGGTGTCCTCTGCAGAGATGTGAGAGCCTGCCAGAAGGGCGACCATCTCGGCAACTCTCCATCAGTCAGGCCTTTACGGTAGAGTGGCAAGACTGAAGCCACTTTGAGTAAAAGGCGTATGACAGCCTGCTTGAAGTTTACCAGATGACATGTGAGGAAGACTATTTTTTGATGAGAGGGAAACTGAACCATTCAGACTGAACTCCAAACACTGTCTGGTGAACACCATCCCCACAGTGAAGCATGGTGGTGGCATTATCACGCTATGGGGGTTAATCTCAGTAGCAGGGACAGGGACACTGGTTAGAATTGAATGAAGGATGAACGGAGGCAAATACAGAGAGGTCCCCAAAGAAAACCTGCTCCAAAGTGCAGTGACGTGTGGCTCGACCAAAGCCTCAAACCCCATAGCACATGTGTGTTCACAAATGCTTCCCATCCAGTCTAATGGAGCTTGAGAGACTCCGTCAGGAAGAATGGGATAAACTGCTCAAAGCATGGTTGAACTCTAGCTGTGGATGTTGCAGCTATGTAGCACACATCCTACCAGGTTGCTCAGGGTGCTCTTCACATGTGAGTGAAAGGAAGTGGCAGTAGAGAGACTTAAAATGTGTTGTCATGATACAGCTCGAATGGGGAAATAACATGCAGAACATAATGTAACAAATGAAGCACATCGGTCATGGTTCTTCTGTCAGTCAGACCTACACACCCACTGATTTCAACTTCATGGTAAATCTGAAAACAAATGAATCCTCGTATACTTTTAGTAAAAAACTTCTAAGAACAATGATCTCAGGTATCCTCACTCTACTATCCAATCAGAATTTGGTAATTCTTTGTTTTATTGGTCTGACTAGGATTTTCAAGGTTTCTAGGAGGAAATGTTTGATTTAACATGGTATTAATAACTGCTAAAAGATTTCTTTCAATTTATTAGTTCTGATTAATTGCAGAGTAACCAAATCCAAGTTGTAGTTGGTGCAAAGCAGTCAGTTAAATACAGAGTAAGTTTTCCATAATAGAAACCAAAAATGATAAAATAATCAGTTGGGTTTGATACTGGGTGTTTACTTACCGTAAAAGTATAGTTTTCTGTAAGTAAAACCAAATTAGTTCTTTTCAGAAAACCTTCTAGGAAAAGATTAGAAAATTACCAGAGCATAAAATGTTAACATGCTAAATGAAGGCGATGAGCATGGTAAACATTATTTGCTACCTGCTAAACATCACCATATACACCGCTACAATGCCTGCACACTCAAACTCAGCAACAACCAGTTCCAAATGTTTGGTATGTTCCTGACCTTGAAATTTGTGTTAAAGTTTAAAACATGAAAAAATAATTTTAACCAAACACTTGCCAGCCAGAAAACAGTCATTGAAAGTAATGTTTAATGGGGCTTAGAGCTGAATTATATAACACGGTGAGTGAGTTTTACACTATCTACAGACGTGTTTCACAGCAGACATCTTGGCATGTCCTACCAGGAAAAGCACAGGTGTAACTGAAATTGGGGCACTCGTTAACAAAATTTGTTTCACCTGCACTTTTCCTGCTGTAACAAGTCAAAATGGCTGCTGTAGAAAAGGTCTGTTGCCCTCCAATTTAGGCATATACTTACCATGTGGAGCCATGTTACATTAGACATTATGAAGTAAGTGCTGCTTTGTCACATTTAAAAATCCATTATAATCATTTACTATGTGTAAGAGGAGAATTATGACTGATATGATCATATAAACTGTTGCACCAAACTTTTTTTTATTTTTTTTTATCATCATCGTACAAATTAACTGTTAAAGCTCCTGCGCCTGCTTCTGGCTGCATGGCTGTGGAGTGGTAGTATGCTGTGCATTCACATCACTAGACACCATCCAGACATCTGATTTCCTGGAGGAGCGTCTTTCCGTTTTTTTGAGCTGTTGTTTGGCATCACTGTGATTGGCGCAGCTGTTTCAGGACTGTGAACTAGTGATGTGACTGGCTGAGAGCGTATTTATTCATCACCACACCCTCCAGTCTGCTATATATCGCTGTATAGCCCTTTTGTGGTTTGCCCTGCTGCTCGTATATGAACCAAAATACACTAGCATGTCTTTGGATATGGTCCATGCACCCAAGACCTTCTGCTTTGCACCAGTGCAATTAAAACATAGCCTTTAGTTTGGACTGCATGTACACACATCATTCCTCTTTACAAAGGGCAGTTTGCTGATGTAGTAACATGATCTCTGAATTCTTCAGCTATTCGAGCGCTGCTTTTTTGGGGTAATTTTTAGCTCTCACCTGGCTTGGGACAGAATTTTAAGCTTGCCGATTGAATGTTTCTTGCTGCACCTTGGAATTCTTCATTAATTTATGTCCTTGACATTTTATGTACACAAGCTTATGCTTTGCTTGAACACATTCTACCATAATTCAGTAAACTAGCAAAAAAAAAAAAAAAAAGGGTCTGCTTTAGTCCATAAGCACCGTCTTGACCCAGGTGGCTGTTAATTTTATATCGAGAGATGTAATTGGACTTGGCTAATGTACACATGCACTGCACACACCTCTGTATGTGAATAGGCAGAACTTGAATTGAGAATTGCCCCCATATCTAATTCAGATCAAGCCTGCTTGTCTTTCTCTGGTTCTTTATTCAGTGTTTACAGCGCCACATGGAGAAGCTATTGGGGGGTTTCTTAGAAGACAGACGATTGCTCTAGGGCTTCATATTTACTCATTTGATGATAATGTAAACTATAGATATCTCTGTTCCCTGGTGAAATTGTGCCTTTAGATGGGGACTGTTACATAAACCAAAACTGGTTCTTAAACATAATTTAAAATGCTCCTTTGGGTGAGTGTAAGGTACTTCTCAGCAACCAGATTACCCCAAAATGTCTCCTTGTCCAAGTAGTAAACAGCCTCATCTTATGCTGTCGGCTACAAAGTCAATTGGGCTGCCTGACATGGTCAAGAGGGCAAAAGCTGTTCTAAAGCCAATCCAATTGTCTCCATACTTGAGCAGTGGAGACAGTTGTATTGTTGTCAGCTTTGCCCTTCATGTAAAACCCTAGCAAGGCGAAAACAGGATTTGTTTAGAGCTTTCCTCTTGAGCTTTGTTGCTGATTGAGGACGGCAGCTGTAATCAACTGTGCAGCAAATGTTAAAATGGTGAGAGCCTGGAGTTTAAAAGCTGCTGGTTGAATCCTCTAGAACCAGTAGGAAAAAAATGGCATTAGGCCATTTTTGTGTTGCTTGAAACTTACTGTGTGCCCTTAGTTTTGTCAGTCTGAACATGGTGTGTGTGTGTGTGTGTGTGTGTGTGTGTGTGTCTCCCTCTCTCTACTCTGCACAAGTCATACTTCAGTTCCAGCAAATCACAGTGAAAGCAGTTTATTTTTTCCTCCTTTTTATTACATCCCATTCCCATGAGGAAACAAACAGTCCTTTAATACAGATGAAAGACTCCCTGTTTCGGATCACAGCTGAGGGCCCATATTGCTCTGTTATTTCTCACACTTCAATCCCCCATCATCATTACAGCCTTTCTCTAACAACGGCGGAGTGCGGGGTCAACCATCTTCACTTTCAGAAGGTTTCACAGTGGTGAGATGAGAAGTAATGACCCCCCCAATCCTATTTCCTGTTTCCCAGCCATGCTCGCTTCAAAACCTGCCTTTTATGTTTAGCAAAAACACTGCAACCTGCCACGGTTGCAAACCTGTGGCCATTTACCTTTGCCTTTGGTATTTTTTGCCACAGAGTAGTATTTTGTTATTTTAAAAAACACACGCCTCCTGCTGTCCCTCTCTGAATATGTCATGACTGATTCTTTTGTTCTCCAAAGTGCCACATTTTTCATTTTTCCATGCAGCCCACAGGTTTTAGGCATCAACTGCCAGACTTGCTGTTTGGAGTCTCAGCCAACAACATAGTGTTCTATTATAATAATGTTCTGGTTTTCTCTCTTCCAGGTAATATCAATGACTGCTCTCTGCACTACTATTTCTTCCTCCTGGCGGGGATACAGGGTGTCACCTTGTTGGTCTTCCTTATTGTCTCTGTCAAGTATGACAAGCAGAAGGCCAGAGCAGGAAGCCAAAGGCAGAGACACACCTCCTCCTGACCTCACACTCCATGTCCTCCTCACCACACCTGCCTTTTCCAGTCGTATATCACGCAGTGGCCTAAGACCCTGTTTAATAGATACATGCTAATCAAATGCTACAGAAGTTTGGGTTACCTCATATGTTATCCTGTCATGACTGTATATATCTTATCTGTGTTTGTTTTAGCTTTTAAGCAGGGATTCTTTATTATTATTTTTACATCACTGCCTGGATGTGCAGGTACCACAGAGTATAGCCATATTTGAATAGTTTCTTCTGTGTTCTCTTACTCCTGTGCGTTTACTCTTGTTGCCTTTCATTGATCATTTGCACTTGACTTGAGGAGTGGTAGCATAGTTTCTAATTTTCAAATTACGAAGAATTGGAATTTTACTTAGTTTTCTAACAGTCTTGTATTTGGACTGACTTTTTTTCTAAGCATTTTACCAACTCGGCTATGATACATCAGTATTTAGTCAAACTTCCCCTGTAAATGGTTTCTGAAATTCTAGTGCAGTAAATGTACTTGAATGTCAGCATTATTTCTTGGTTACCCCTGTTGGGCCTCTAGAGAGCTTCAAATGCAGACACAGCAACATAGGTGTAATCACATTGAATGGAAGATTAATTAGTGTAATTAATGTAGGGGGTAATTTAATGTTTAAGTGTTGTTGCAGATTCCCAGAAATGATTGCTGTTAATGCTGAGAGACAATAGGGCATTCATTAGCAGTTTGTAATAGAACACAATTAGATTTCTATCTGACCTATCGAAAATTGAAATCTATTGGGAAAAACGTATTTCTTCTGCCAGTGATTGCATACTGTAACTCCATTTTATAAATATGTTGTACTGTAAATCCTGAAAGAGCACCATACATGAATAATAACTCCTTATGTTAAAAATAGTTCATGGCTCCTGTGAAGCTTCAGTGTTTGTTTTTTGTTTGTTTTTTTTTATTTTTTCTGGTCAAGCTGCAAAGCCACACGCCTACGTGACAAACAACCTTCAGCTTAACAAGTAACCTTGAATGTAGCTTTTAAAATATGTACAGCATTAATGCTCTAATAATGATTAAAAGGGAAATAGTTCAGGAATTAAATCATAAAACTCACATTAAATCACATAGACAGTATTTCTATATTTATACTTTCTTAGCAATATAAATCATAGCTTTGACATTATTTGTCAATCTTTCCCATTGATATCATGGCTTTGCAGCTTTGCCAAAAAATCTTGAACACAATGTTTGTTTTTTTTTGTTTTAGCTTTATACTGTTAAAAATTGTGCGTGTTTCTTTAATCCTCAGAATAAGGAGAGCACAAAGTACAGCATTTTATTAGATCAAGAAACCTCTCAGGGCTCGAGGAATAGTGTCAAGTGACATAACTCTCTAGGAAATTTAAAGCTACCTTTCAGAGCTCCAGGCTCAGTGTTTACCCTGTGGTGTAAATAAAGTTACATTTGTAACAGCACATTAAAAGTTGAGAGCTATCTCACTGAACGTATTTGATTTGGTAGTGATTTTAGTTTGTTTTGGTTGGTTGGTTGAATTGATGTTCCTTTGTTTAATTATATATTTTATACTGTATATACAGTTGCTTTGACATCTCGGTAATCTTAAAATGATTTAAGTCAAGTGTTGATTTTTTTTTTTCATAAACCTATAGAACTGAAATATTTTTTGGTTGTATTTGTGGCCATTAAAGTTTATTTTATTGAAAATTACTCGTCATGTTCAGCTTTTGCCTAAAAAAAAGCACAACTTGCAAAACTACTTCAGATGTTACTTAACACACTGGTTGTACAATAACCTTTTGTTTCTTTTTTTGATTTGTTGACCAGGATTTACAATAAGCAGACAGCAGCGTCTTGAAGACTTCACCGTCTGAACACATTTACATCTATTTTTTTAAGCATGTTCCAGGAACCAAGGCAGTGCATAGCCTCTGATGTTAAGAAAAGAGTCCTCAATTTGACATATAGATTATTATTATTATTGTTTATTATTGAACTGTAATAACTCTTTATCTGGTGCCATGATCAGGTCTTCATCTTCAAGTTTGCCCAGTACTTTTGTTTACGATAGGCCTACCAGACACACGTACCTGCAGAAGTAACATAGACCTTAGCTGTACTATGTGTTTTGTGCCAATCACCAAATGTTAGCATGTTGAATAAGATGATGAACATAGTAAACATCAGTGTTACCATTGTCATGAGTATGTTAGCATGCTGACCAGCTAGCATGACTATAGACTTTAGGTCTTGGTCTATTTCCTATGGATTATGTTCCTTGGACTACTCTAAGAGTCAAAAATGTAAAATGACAAGAAACTAAGATTTGTACAAACTGAAAGATTGCCAGTGCAGTGCAACACTGAATCAAAACAAAGATCCCGCTAAGTGGGGCGGCAGAGTGGTGCAGTGGTTAGCGCTGTTGCCTCACAGCAGGGGCTGACTCAGAGTTTGCATGTTCTCCCTGTGCCTGCATGGGTTCCGGGTGCTCTGGCTTCCTCCCACAGTTCACAGCTTAGGTTGACTGGTGATTTTAAATTGCCCCTAAGAGTGCGAGATTGTGTGTGTGTGTGTGTGTGTGTGTGTCTGCTTATTTAAGACCATTTTACATGGTGTTTTTCAAACATTTTTGTCTCCTTCCCATCTACTCTAAATGACCTTTCCAGGGCATGTGGAAGTCCAACATTTTCTACAGAATGTTAGTCTGCTTTTAATTGTATTACTGAGGCTTACCTGTGTAATGAGTGATGTGCAAATTGTCCCGAAGATCTTCCTCCATCTATTGGAGGATTAGAAGGTATCATCACATGTTAATTAAGATAAGCTAATGCAGACACAATGTTTAAGAAAACGGCCAAGCAGATAAATTGCCCATCTCTAAGTACTATTCATCTGCATTTGCATAGACCTAATTATCTTATCTAAGCTGTCTTTGCTGGTTGGCATCATATCCTGGATCCTTTTTCAGTGCAAGACTGCAAATGGGATGGTGTTGAGCAAGGCGTTTAACTCAGGGTCTAACATACTCCAGAGGAGTATGTTATTATCTCTGGAGTATGTTAGGAGAGATAACATAAGTGCTCCAGAGGAACATGTAAAGTCTGTCACAATCTCCTGTTTCAAAAAACGTGCTAGTCATGTTACTAGACAGACTGTTTTCTGTGAGCACAACGTTGGGTTAAGTATGCTCAATTTAGATATGATCTGTGAAATAAGCTGCTGCAAAATGATTTAACAGTGTTCAGTGTTTATCTACCCATATTTATAGAAAAAACCTTGGTGGTTATAGTATGCACAAGAAGTCAGGTTTAGAGCATCTTGTTTGTACAGAATGGATCTTGACCTCCATAAAACAGTACAGGTATCAAGATAATCATTTGCACCAGGTGTATCTAGGTAGCCTTCTGACCTTCTGTTGTTGCCCTGGCCTGTCTCAGACCACTGACTGCTATGCTGCTCCTCTATGCACAGTGCCCCTACTAGTCTTCCTGGGCCAATATGTCTAAATGACAAAGCTGGGTGCTCACTTCATGCTGCTGAAGGGCGTCACTAGTTACCGTAGCTGTTTAAATGTCTTTGGGATTTTGAGTCATCACTGACATTTGTTGTTTTGCCTCTGTTTACACTGGTGTGTATAAATGTGTGTTTATATCACTTTGTGAGAATCAAAATCTGATTATTCAGTGGTGTTATGGGGACACACCTCCATTCTGGGGTCCAAGAAACTGATTCACAAACAGTTTTTTAGGGGATTGACATGTGACTTAGGCCTGGAAATAGTCTATGTACAGACCAGAACCAACAAGTTAGCTGCCTGTGTAGCCTAAGACTGCTTGTTCTCCAAAAACTGGTAAAAAGACATCCATGAGCCACATCTGTGCACAATGTGATGTTCCTCCATTACAATGAACATTTGCTGTTAATCCACAGCTAAAAATAGGCTTCAATAATTTCACTGTAAACTATAGTTTGAGTAATGCTTGCTTAAAAAACACTACAGTACCCACTAGAGAAATCACTTGCTTTTTTAAGTTTACAGTTTTCTTTATAGTAATACATTTTTGAATGACACAAGACTTATCCTGTAAGGTTGAAATCAGGTTTAGGATGTGATAAGGGGCTAGGCTGAATGGTAGTCAATTAAAAGTCCTTATAAGGATAGTGAGATACTGTAAGTTACTCTCTGAGTGTGTGAACATTTGTGTGTGCATGCTCTGGTGTTTGTCTTTCCACTGTGGTACACTGGTCAGGAGGGAGACTGTGTTTACAAGACACAGATTTGGCAAAAGAATTTTGATTATGAACAATGTTGTCTTTTGTTCCCTGCAGCTCCATCTGTAAAAATTGGTCAGAGCAGAATGTCAGACTGACCTCGTCAGCTGCTCCTCAGTTCCTCTGCGGCAACGTGTTTGTGCATGTTTAGTTGATGTAAAACTACTGTGAACTGGCTTTAAAATGAATTCAAAGGAAGCAACATTAAATCAACCAGTGAATAATCATTTGGAAATTGCGAATACAGACCCAGCACATTAGGACCACAGGGAGCACAACCAGCCATTAATGAGAGTTTGTTGGTCTCACATCATCAACTTAATTAAAAATCAATTCAAGGTGGAAGCCTGGGGGAGGTTTTTTCTTTTCCTTTCAGGGAAGTCAAGACTTCAAGGCCAACAAAAATGAGTATTACCATACTCCAAGTATGGAAATATATGCAATCATAAAACCTTCCGTGCTACATCCAGAAAGGTATCAATATATGTTTAAAACCAGAGCCCAAGGTGGTGGAGTCGGCGGGTTTTAAATGGGCTGTGCTGCTCTGTTCCTATCAGATTTTGCTGAGGCCACCAATGATGGTCATGGAAAGAGACCGGTAGTGCTGTTTTAATTACACAGGGCATTTCATCAATCATGCCCCTTGTGGCTGACACTTAAATCCCTCCCAGTCTTACACTAACTCCTCTCATCCTTCACAGTCCACAGACTGAGGACAACAGCCACAGACAGTCCCAGCACACAGCACATGCTTCAATCCCCAGCAGTCACTGATAGACCCACAAAAGCAAGATCACACACGAGAAAGCAGATTGCAAGTGATGAGGGAGAGCTGCATTTACAGGTACAGTATGTGTAAGCTACACAGCTGAAAAACTGATTTGCACTTAAACTTGTGTATTGTGGAATTATTTTTCCAAAGCACAGTCAGTGTTGTGGAGCAACTAGATACATGTAACTTGTTACTGGAATTAAATTACAAAATAAGCGTAACTACAATCAGTTAAAGTTACTGAGAACAAATCTGTAATTAAAATACAGTTACTAATGGATGGATGGATCTTTTTGCCATGCAAAGCACCTTCTTTTGGCATTTTTTTCCAAATAATGGGGGTAAGCAAAGCCACTGAGACAAATAACACTTTCATGGGTAGGATGGCATACATGGAGCTGTCTCTACAGTATGTCTAGATAGGCTCCATTCATTTGGCAGCATTTTGAATGTTGGTTTTGACTGGTTTTCTTGTTTAACTTTGCACCAGCTCTCATCTGTCAGTCAAATCAAATCACATTGCTCTACGCAACCTGAGTCTGCCACACCTGGCTGCGACCATCTGACAATGCCAAGGTGGGTGGTCATGCTGTCAGACAAGAATGTTTTTCAGTCCTGAAACTTCAGTAATATTTCCTTCTGAAATCAGAAAAGGCTTTCGCTTCTTGTCCATTCAGTGGGCTACATTTGAGCAGGAATATATTATATAACTGATGTTGTGTTGAAGAACCTTTAATAAAGGTTGGACAGTAGTGTTAGGTATTTTTTAGTCAGATAGAAATTGGTTAGATACTTGTTGTATTAGAAATGTCTTTAGTGTAGACAGGATGTCTAGCTCAGGCTGTTAAATGCTTACTCATTTCCATGAGTTACTCAAGGTTGTTTATGTGCCAGGATAACTAGATAGAAAGTGGCTATTGTATGATATGTTTAGCCGTAATCTTAATCATAATATCTTCCGAGGCTTAATGTCCGGACATGTCCCTGAATGTCCTGTATGTTCTTAGATACACACCACATAATCAACACTCACACACATTGATTTTCTCCATGTTTTGACTACTGCTACGGTCAGCTGTGAAGCTGGCATATCAGGTGACG